CTCCTCTCTTCATGGCTCAGAGACCTTCATGATTTTGGGGGGCTGTCTTTTCCTGACACCTCTAGGCAGTTAACAGGATTCATTTATTTACCCAATGACTATTTATTGAGTGCCTCCAGGACACCTATCCCTGTGTTAGGCTTAGGGATATGACAGGAAATGCGGCAGGTCAGGCTGAATGTGCTACGTGATGGGCAGGGGCTGGGGTAAGTGGTTGGCAAGTCACAAGAATAAGCAGATTCTTTCAGAGGGAGAGGACTGTGAAGACAATAACTTGGAATCTTGGGACACTGAGTGACCAGCTGTCTGTTTAGCTAGACTCTGCTGATTGAGAATTTGAGGAGGACCTCCCCAGAATGCTAACTCGTGACCTGAGAGATGAATAATGAGGAGGCTGCCGTGGAGGCGGAGTGACCTAGGGTAGGAAACTGCCCAGCCAAAGGCACAGGCAGGGCAAGGGTCCTGAGGCAGCTGCCAACTTGGCCTGTTCAGGAGCAGAAAGAAGGCCCATGGGGCCAGATGGGGCTCAGCCCAGTGAGCCTGTACGATGCAGTGACGGTTGCTGTCTTGGGCCAGATCACCAGCGCCTTCAACATGGGTTGATTTAAGGTTGTTTAAAAAAAAAAGTATGGTAAAATATACACAACAAAAAATTTGTCATCTTAGCTGTTTTTAAGGGTATAGTTCAGTAGTGTTAAGCACATTTACACTGGTGCTAACCAACCTCCAGAACTCTTTTTATGTTGAAAACAGAAACTGCAGCCATTGATCAACAGTTCTCCATTCTGCCCTTCCCAACCCCCGGAAGCCACCATTCTACTTTCTGTCTCTGTGAACTGAATTAATCTGGGTACCTTATGTCAGGGGGATCAGACCGTATTGTATTTGTCTTTCTGGACTGGCTTATTTCACTGAGCATCATGTCCTCAGGGTTTATCCATATTGTAGCATGTGTCGGAATTTCCTTTCTTTTTAGGCCTGAATAAGGCCTAAAATTGGCTGTATGTACCATGTTTTGCTTATCTGTTCTTCTGTGGACAGACACTTGGATTGCTTCCACTTTCTTGGAGATTGCAAAGAATGCCGGTGTGAATGTAGACACACAGTGTTTAAGTTTTTTCATGTTCTGCTTTCCACCCATGAAGTTAGGCTGGGCATGGTTTGGGTGGCACAGAGTGAGAGTCTGGCCTAGCTGGATTCCCCTACCCCATGAAGGTAGGAGAGGCCAACTGCATAGAATCTGCGGCTGCGTGCTGCACTGATTGAGCCACAGCCTTAAGACTGGGTCTTTCAATCATCCTGGAACGGGAGGAGCTTTTCTCTGCATCTAAAATGGGAGCCATAAACCAGGCTGACTTACAGGCAGTACTTACTGGTCTGGTTGTTTATGGCCAGCGATTTTTCTGATTGGTTGATGCCTGTACTCTGCCTGTTAAATATTTGAATATCATCCTGCTATAAAGCAGCCACAGGACTTCTAACCTGGCTGTGTGTGAGCATCTCCTGCAGGGAGAGTGGGGGCTGCTGTTTAAAAGTTTACCCTCTGGGCTTCCCACTAGCCAACCCAGTCAAGAGGGCTTGGGAATCTGCATTGTAAAGTTCTACTGTAGTTCCAATGCACAGTCTCAGACACGCATTGGAAATTTGGGCTCCCTGAGAAATAGACCTTGTAAGGAGGACTCAAGTGCAAGAAGTTTATTAGGGGAGGAGGTCCCAGGAAACACAAGTATGGGGTGAGGAAGTGAGTCAGGAAGGGAAGGAAGCCATAAAGATGTGCAATCATCAACCAAGTTGCCAGTGTAGAACACGGACCTCTGAGTTATGTCCTGGAGAGGTGCAGGAGCTGGGCTGTTTACCCACCTTATCCACAGAGCTCTGAACATCAAGCCAGAAAGGAAGGACTCCACATTCTTGGAATTTTATCTGGAAAGGAGGACTAAGCAGCTTTTGTGAGTGAACTTTGAGGACAGTTCTGATATGACAATGATAGCTAACACTGCTGAGCACTAATCATGGTGGATAAGGTCATCCTTATCTATCATCTTTCACAGTCACTTGGTGAGCTCCACTGCTGGGGCATTCATCCCCTGGCCCATCCTGACTGTGCTGTGTTTAGGAGGAGCAGTCCCTGATGGCCAGGACCACTTGGGTGTACACTCACAGGCTCTGGCAGTTGGAGGTCAGGCTGGCGTGTATGGAAATGTGTGTGCTGAGGGATAGAGGGCAGGGTACCAACAGCATCTGCGGTAAAGACCCAGGCAGCTCCCATCTCTCTATCATAAGAGGGCATTCCAGCCCCTGTGAATAGCATGGTATCCTCCTTACCACTGAAAAAACACCAGGCCCCATCCATTGCTCGTGAGAATGTAAAATGATACAGCCACCATGGAGAATACTTTGGCAGTTCCTCAATAACTTAAACATAGAATTACTATATGTTCCAGTAATTGCATTCCTAAGTATACATCCAAAAGAATTGAAAACACATATTTAAACAAAAACTTGCATATAAATGTTCATAGCGGCATTATTCCCAATAGCCAACAGGTGGCAACAACACAAACAGCTGACAGCTGATCAATGAATAAACAAGATGTGTTACATTCACACAGTGGAATATTATTCAGCCATTAAAAAGGAGTGAAGTACTGATACATGCTACAGTGTGGATGAACCATGAAAACATTAGGCTGAGTGAAAGAGGTCAGACACAAAAGGCCACATATTGTATGATTCCATTCATATAAAAGATCTGGAATAGGCGAATCCATGGAAACAGGAATTGGATTTGTGGTTGCCAGGGGCTGGGGAAGGGAGCAACGGGGAGTGACTGGTTCACAGGCATGGGGTTTCCTTTGGGGATGATGAGAATCTCGTGGAATTAGTATTGATGGTTGCACAGCATCGTGAGTGTACTAAATACCACTGCATTGTGTACTTTAAATGGTTGAAGTGGGTCGATTTCATGTGATGTGTATTTCACCACAATTTTTTACAAAAGGAACTCCAGGTATTCTCCAGCCCTGAGATGCAAGGTATATTCTGTTTCTCAGGTGGGAAGCAAACCTGTGTGGCATATGTACCCCAGGGTCCCCCAGCCAGAGATAGTTCTCCTGCATGGCTGTAACTAGGAGCACTGGGCTGGAGCTGGACCCCAGAGATTGGCCTCATTCCTGTAGGAATAGCACAACTAGAGGTTGATGGAAACCTCCCCTGGTGGAGAAATGAGCCCTGCTTCCCAGAGACGCCAGGGCTGAGCCCAGCTTCTGTAGAGAGGCAGAGCAACACTGGGCGGGGGAGTATGTGCCCAGCTGGAAAATTGCGGGGTGTCTTGTCTTAAATATAATATTAAATCGGCACCTTTAATTAGTACACTTAGAAAAGGTCACTAGCAATTACCTAGGACACAAAGAAGGCATGAGCAGGCAAGAGCCCGTGAGGAAGCTGAAAAGGACCATTTTGAGCAGCACATAATTGAGGGGAAAATGGATAAAAGTCCAGGAAATTACAGGGTGGGTGACAGCAGCTGATGGTCCCATCCCTGTTTTGCTCACTGCCCCCTTTTTTGGGAGGACCTGAGCTTCAGGCCTGGGAGAGCCATTTGGGATATTGGGCTCAGTCATGCAACCTTGACTGGAAGGGCAGGGTGGTCTTCCTGGAATCCCCTTAGCCAACGGGAGCTTTGCCTCAGATCCCTTACCTGGGCTGGGCCCTGAGGTATGGCAGGTGAGGGCTGCGGTCCAGAGGGCTGCAGGCTGCCATAGACCATTGTTGCACTATGGACAAGCAAGGTGCTTATGGGCCTCAGTTTTCCCATCTGGAATCTCCCCAAGGCTTTGGGAAGTAACTCAGTGTTTCTCAAACATTGCCGCTAAAGAACACCTGAGAGCAATGGAAAGGAAATGAACGCTCCTAGAAGTCAGCAGAGACTGGAATTCATTTATAGCTTTAGACTATATCTTAAAAAATAAATTAAAAATAAATAAATTAGACCAGGTGTGGTGACTTGAGCACCTGTAATCCCAGCAGTTTGGGAGGCCAAGGAGGCGGATCACTTGAGGTCGGGAGTTCGAGACCAGCTTGGCCAACATGGTGAATCCCCATCTCTACTTAAAATGCAAAAAAAATTAGCTGGGTGTGGTGGTGGATGCCTTTATCCAGCTGCTGGGGAGGCTGAGACAGGAGAATCATTTGAACCTAGGAGGTGGAGGTTGCAGTGAGTCAAAATTGCACCACTGCACTCCAGCCTAGGTGATAGAGCAAGACCCTATCTCCAAAAAACTAATTAATTAGGGCCGGGCACGATGGCTCAAATCCCAGCAATTTGGGAGGCCAAGGTGGGTAGATCATGAGGTCAGGAGTTCGAGACCAGCCTGGCCAACATGGTGAAACCCCATCTCTACTAAAAATGCAAAAATTAGCCAGGTGTGGTGGCACACACCTATAGTCCCAGCTACTCAGGAGGCTGAGGCAGGAGAATCACTTGAACCCAGGAGGTGGAGGTCCCAGTGAGCCGAGACTGTGCCATTGCACTCCAGCATGGTTGACAGAGTGAGACTCCCTCTTGAAAAAATATATATTAATTAATTAGTTAATCAAATGCTGCTCCCAATGTCTTCTTGTTTGTTATCAGGCAATTTGGGGAAGATGTGCTTGATTTATCTATGACTTTTACTTACTTCCTCTTACACCATCTAGAAAGAGCATTGAACTGGGAATCTGGGAGTTTGGAAACTTGGGTTTGAATCCTGCCATTTTGGCTTACCATTGTACTTTGGGCAACTTGCTAAATGCTTTCAGCTTCTCCAAATCTGAAATGGGTTAGGGTTGGGCTCTGAAGATGTTCCACGATTTTTCTCCTCCTTACTTTCTCCCATCACCTTGGATGCTGTCATTTCCTGCTCTGCTGTTCTGCTGCTTTACCTTGGAGAAGCTGCTTTGCCTCTCTGAGCCTCAGCTTCCTAATCTGTAGAATGGGTAGAATAACAACTACCAAACAAACTTGCTGGGAGGACTTAATGAGAGAACCCACATGAATGGACCTCATGTCTGGCATCTCGTAAGAGCCCAGTGCATGCCCAGTGTCTTCCTTTTCCAAATCTTGGGCTTCCCATTAGGATCCAATAGGCGTATCCATGAAGTCCTGAATCTTGAGTTTATATATCAAGTGTTGAGATGTCTGTGCTGTGGAAACAAATATTGGCTTTGAGTCCCAAATGCCGGAGATGTGGATTTCAGCTCAGCCATTTGCTGACCGTGAGATAATTACCTCTTATCATTCTTTGTTGCCTTATTCGTTAAATGGGGAGAATTGCATTATGGTCTGAATTAGTGCTTATGATAGTGCCCTGGCTTATGATTAGGGCTCAAAAATGTTAGCTGGCATCATTATGTTAGCATTGTCCTAAAAGTTCTTTTCTAGATAAAATTACAAGAATTTGGAATCCTTTCCTTTTATCTAGCTTGATTTTCAGAGCTATGTGGTAAATGTGAGTCCATATTTGGGGCAGGTGGTGTCTGTCTCATTTTATAGTGGAAACTGAAACCTGGAAATAAGTGATTTGCCTAAGGCCATGGTTCCGATCTGCTCGCCCCTTTGAGAATCAGATGAAGACTATAGACACTGCCTTTGGAAAATGATGCACTGTTCATGCATAACATTTTGTGTACAGTTCCGGTGAGTTTAAGGACCTCCTGAAGCTAAGGAGACCAGCCATCCCAGTTTACCTGGGGCTTCCTGGTTTTAGCACATGTGCTGGGAAATGCTTCAGTTCTGGGCAAAGCAGGGCAGCTGGGGCCCTACCTGAAAGCTACACAGGAGAGCTGTGAGCCCCAGGAGAAGATGCCCTGCACTTCTTAGGCAGGGTATAGGCCAGGCATCTTGAAGCCTCGGTGGCCTCAGGCCAGGGCTTTGCTTCCTGGTGAGGGATGACACCTGCCTCTCAATCCCCTTCTTGAGGGTGAGAACTAGACCTAGCCACCCAGTTCTAGACTGGAGTTCCTTGAGACTGAGCTACATCTTCTTAACCTCTGCGTATTCTAGTGCTCATCATAAGGCCAGCACCTGGTCACTCCTGAATGAATGCCAAAAGATTTCGCAAAGTATTCTGAATTAGAAAAGGTGCTTCCATTTGCAAAAGACAAAATCCAACTCAACTGACTTAGGCCAAAGAAAAGGTTGTGAGGGCAATTATTAGCTCATCTAGCTGAGAAGTCCAGAGGATGAAGCTAATATCAGGCAGAGCTGGCTACAGACCCTCAGAAAGCCATCAGGAATCTGTCCCTCCATACATCATTTGTCTCTGTTTTCCTCCTTGTGGGCTTCATTCTCAGGCAGGTTCTTCTTGTGTGGTGCCAAAGATGGCTGCCCACAGTGCCAATGAGCAACCCCCATGAAAGAGAGCTCCTCTTTCCCAGTAGTTGCAGCAAAAGTCCAAAGGCTGCCTTTGATTGGCTAGTTTGGGTCACATGCTCATCCCTGAGCCAGTCATCAAGACCAGGGAAATGGCATGCTCTGATTGGTCAGCACTGAGTTATGCACTCATCTTGGAACACAGAACTTGAAATATTGAGGGCCTGTTCTCATCTGAGCCACTTGGAGAAGGAGGTCTTCAAACTAAAATCAGAGAAAGGGGGGCAGGCAGAAGTCACAGCTATGTTTTACACACCCAGAACATGGTGAGTGATGGTTCCCTGATATGACCATGATGCGCTGTGACAAGTGGACCAGAGTGGAGGCAGGATACCTGGGTCAGAGCCCACAGATACATGATCTGTGGCCTGCTGGAGGGTTGCTAGTGGCAGCTCCCTGCTGAGAGTTCAGCCACCTGGGTAAGGTAGGAAGGCAAAAACCTGACCTGTATTTTCCCTCTGCTTTCTCCCTTGGCTACTCCAGGTTCTTCTGTGACCCAGTTGCTGGCCCGAGACATGGACAATGACCCACTGGTGTTTGGCGTATCTGGAGAGGAGGCCTCTCGCTTCTTTGCAGTGGAGCCTGACACCGGTGTGGTGTGGCTCCGGCAGCCACTGGACAGAGAAGTATGACTTGCACCTACCCCTGCCCTTGTTCTCTCTCGGGGACAGGAGGAATAGCCCGGGGAGGGGTGGACCACCATCTTTTGGGCTCTTTCTCTAAGACCCCCATTCTGACTCCGAAGTGGCGTCTTCCTGCCTGAATGGTATTCCTCTTCAAGGGCCAATGCTGGTATCTGGACATAGGGTTGGAATGGGTCGTTAGAGGTATCTCCAAGCAAGCAGCTACATTGGAGAGGCAAGAGGGACAGTGACAGTGACCCTGGGTTCATCCCTTCTAGAATGGGGATCCATGGAGGGTACAAGTCTACCCCTACCCCCAGTAAACATTCCCCCAATATCCAAAGAAGCAGGAATTGACGGCACGGTAGCCCTTAGCAAGTTAAGGTAAAGTTGTGACACATTCCCAACCCTTACCCTCTCCTTGCATTTGAGAGAGGGGCCATATATGTGTGTAGTGATTTGCTCAGTGTCACACAGCATCTTAGAGGCAGAGCCAAGACTAGCACCAAGATGCTTAGCTTCCATCTTTTATTGCTCTCTTAAAGCAAGGATCCATATTCCACACCTGCTTCCCCAACCCAAAGGGCAATGCTGGTATTTTAGGGAAGCCTTTGGATACCTGGTTCCAGGCAAGCTCCTAGGGCATTCCTGGAGCCCCTCCCACCCCATTTAGGGCCTGGGAGCCAGGACCTAACTCAGCACCACCTAACTGCCCCCTCCCTCTCTCACTTTTCTTTCAGACCAAGTCAGAGTTCACAGTGGAGTTCTCTGTCAGCGACCACCAGGGGGTGAGTGTCCCCTTGGGCCCTGGAGGCATGTTCCTGGGGTCACAGGATTTCTGGGCCCCTTGGGTGGAAGGGGTCAGAGTCAGGTGGCAACACTAATTCCTGCCTTTCTCTTGCCAGGTGATCACACGGAAGGTGAACATCCAGGTCGGGGATGTAAATGACAACGCACCCACATTTCACAATCAGCCCTACAGTGTCCGCATCCCTGAGGTAGGAGCTGCCAGGGTCGTACCTGGGGGTATCGCGGCCCTGCTTCTCCCCAGACCACCAGCGTGTAGGTAAAGAGTCAGGCAGGGAGAGCAGCTCTGGCTCTTCTGCCCAGACCTCAGCCCAGGCACCGACTCTGGGCAGGTTGGTCAACATGCCGGTACCCTGGGGATCGGGGCCCAGCTTGGGGTTGGGAAGAGCAGCTAGGCTGTAGGTTGGGAGCCTTGTGCTGGAGGCTGACCCTCACACCTCCAGCTGGAGCCAATGGTGGGACAAGAGTTGGGAAAAGCACATGTCGTACCCTCTTTCCTTTCATTCGTATTCAACTGTGGGCCTTGGACAGGCCTCACCCCAGGACTTTGGCCAGAATCAGGTGCCCCTAGGACTCAGGGAGCGTACAATTCTAGGAATGGGCTTTCTCTAGCCCAGCAGTCTCGCGGCCCCTGCATTGTGTACTCTGAATGTTTGCATGAGTGCTTGTGTGTAAAATCAAGCCATTGCTGGTAATTGAGAAGTACAAATTATTGCATTACAAATGGTTCGTTAATAAGCTGGCTGCCAGCTCCCGATGGCACCAGAGTTCCCACTGCTTGCAGCCCCTCACCTGGGTGGCTGATGGCAGTCTTATGGTCTGGCAGTTAGTGATTCAAACATTCCGAAGCAGGCGGGTTCTCGCTGGGTGTCCCTCAGGCCTGCCCTCAGAGTTTTGAGTTGCGCAGTGGCAGTGAAGGGTTGGGATGGGAGACAGAACCTCCGGAAAGGCAGGTTGGCACCATGTCATTTGATTTCTAATCCCTATATGCTATCAGCCATTGGATCAGGGAACAAAGAGTCTTTAGAGAATATCATGGTCAGTTCAAGCATGAGGCTAGGCATGGGAGAGTGGCTTGCCTGAGGTCACACAGCTTTAACTTCGAGCTTCCTGGCTTCCAGGGCAAGCTCAGACTCCCTCAAGGTGATGAGATCTTGCTCGTACATGCCACTCCCTGGCCTCCGTTACTCAGCTTCGAGCCAAGGGTTCTATGCTTGCACCAGATGGAAGAGAGGACAGATGTGCAGGGGGCTGCTGTGGAGGCACCATGCCCTTCACCCGCCTGGGATGGGAGAGGACTGGGGAGCCCACAGTCCTAAACATGGGGGCACAGTGCCCTGAGCTGTGGCCGGCATGCCCAGGGACTGCAGCTTGGCTCCTGCTGTCTCTCATTTGGAAGTCTCCCTAATTTAATTAAGGGTCTCTACGTGCCAGCCTGCACTTCAGGCCTGGGCTCAGGAACCAAGGGCATGGCTCAGAGTTAATGAGCCTTGGACCCATTGCTCAGCTGCCATCCTGGCAGGCATGGCTGCCCTCCATCTTCCCTCTCAGGAGGCAGCAGGGAGCCACACCAGCAAGGGGACGAGGGGTCACTTCCCTCCTCTCCCGCCCTTGGGCCAGGGCCAGCTTTTTTCTCTCTCCTCCAGGAGATGTGACTTCCAACACTTGGCCCTGTTGGAATCCCCTGGGATTTGTCAAAGGCCTGTGCCTCCAAGGAGAGAGTCTCTTCAGTCATTCATTCATTTATTTAACAAATATTTATTGAGTGTCTGCTGTGGGCTTGGCTCTGAGCCAGGCTGTCATTGTGCAGAGACCTGGGAGGCCACAGGCATGTGGAATGACAGGAATTACAACAAGAGGCAGGAGACCCTGGGTCCAACCCCTGCTCTGCTCCCAGCTTGCTGGGTGCGTCTGGGCCTGTCACTTCACCTCTCTGCGCCAAAGGCCTCCTTATCTAATAAAAACAAAAGCCTGCATCTACCCATCTGACAAGGAGAGGGCAGGCTGAGAGGGGCCAGCTGCAAAGGACACGCCACCCTTGGAGGAAGGCCCGCGTGGTTTACTTGCTCATGTGTAAACACCCCGGTCTCTTTAGTGTCCTGATACTTGATGCCCTGCCTGGGGCTGCTCAGTGTGGCCAGTGGGGATGTGGTGTCAGCTGGATGGAGGCCTGGACGCTCCTGATCTGAGGTACCTTGACAGTGACCAGCCCTGGCCTGGTGTGGTCACCTAAGCTGAAACCTAGCTGCCTGGCTCTGACGCCAGCTGGGGTACCAGCCCAGAGTGTCCTGGCCTCTGGCCCAGAAATGAGCCCAAGGTTTCCAGCTTGCATTGAGGTCATGGAAACCCCAGGCTTCGGCCCTTTAGAAGTGGGATTCAGCAGCAAAGGCCCTGCAGGTATGAACAGGGTGAGGAGACGAGTCAGAGAAACAGGGTGGGGGAAGCACTGCAGACCCTGTTGGGTGTGAATGCCAGAGTGTGCCAGGGTGACCAGAGAAATCTTGGCAGGTTTCCTGGAGGAGGTGGGTTTCCAGCAGAGTCTGGTGGAGGTAAGCAGTGGATGCTCCTGTGCTGTTTTGTGGGAAGAGAGAGACCAAATCAAGACACCTGGGTTCTAGTCTGCTGGCTTCAGGCCCTACAGATTCAAACAAGAGGTTGAACCAGACCTCTTCCAGGCTGACATCTCATGATCAGAGGATGAAACCCAGCAGGAGAAGCTCTTTGCCATCCTTCAGTGCCTTATTGTTCTTTGTGGAATGGCAGAGAAGCTCTGGTGGCTGCCTCTATCCATTCAGTTCCTTTCCTGGTCATCTCAGCCATCTGTACCCTTTCACTTACCCTCCTAGCCTCTATTCCCTCAGCTGTAGGGCCCTAATAATGATGGGGTCTGTTGTGTGCAGACCCCAGGGATTGGCGCAGGGAGCAAGGCAAATCCAGGTCTATCTAAGGAAGAGCTTTCTGGTAATAAGACTGCCCACACACACCCATGCACACAGGCTATGCCCCTGCCTTGCTGAGAATGTGCTGAGCTCCCATCCCTGGAGTAATGCAAGCAGAAGTAGGAGGACCACTTCTCTCCAGCCATCCAGCACTGTGTATTGAGAAAGTGAGGAATCAGAGGGTCCCAAACATGCCCCAGCAGAATTTCCCAGGGGACTGGGAAGCATATTCTCGCTCCCTGCAATTGTGAATCAGTAGGCTAGGGAGAGCCAGCCCAGGAAGCTGCATTTCTAAAACTCCACTGGTAACTGTGAGAAGAGCCAGGTTTGGGGAGCCTTGGAGGATCCCACTAGAAGTTTTCTGAGAGGTGCTGAGGGCGGCCCATTTTGGATGTGAACATTCAGTCCCTTCATGGCTGCCTGGAGATGTGGCCCACGTGGATCCAAGTCCTCAGGCCAGGAACAGCAAGGGGTGGGAGGCGGTTCAAGGCCATGCATCACCCCGCTGCTTGCCTCTCCTGGACCCCCATTCCCTCTGAAAGCCTCTGCCCAGTCCAGCCCCCCCCAGCCCCTGACTCTGGAGAAGCTGGGCAGGTGTGTGTTTGGGTTTGTTTGTTCTCGTTCCCCTCCTGCCCACCCCACTCCCCTCACTAAGCAGTACTCCATGTAATTATCCATTTTATCAGGGTGAAAGGCCCTGCAATTCACTTGTCGAAGCCCTAACGAGGCAGCGTAGATGCTTTCAAGTCCGTAAAGAAAAGGGAAATCCTGCTAGAATTGGCAACTTAATTCACCAAGCCAGCCTCGACAGACCTCATTAAGTCCCCGTGTATTCATTTCAAGCTAATGGCTGTCATGCTGACTGCTGTTTGATTTGCTGTAATAGACTTTTATGGCATTCCAATTTGCTCAAACGTGTTTGCCTGTGTCTGTGCCCAGCGGTGCTGCTCCAGTACCTCTGTTAGGAGCGCGTGCCTGCCTCGCTGACCTTCAGCACTGCCCCCTCCCTGCTCCTCCCAGGGCCACCTGCTCAGCCCTCTGATGTACCCTAGGGAGGTGACCCTGGAGCTGGGGTGTTTAGGCAGGAGGATGAGTGTGAGGTTAGAAGTCAGGTGGTACCAGATGGCTCACTGGGTCAGGGAATCTGGAGGACCCACTGGAGTCTCTGAGATGGCTATGTCCTTGAAGTTCTGACAAGTTCAGCCTTCTTAGCTGGGCAGTCTAGACCTTTTTCCATCTTACATCAACCTACCTTTCCTAGCTTATTTTTCAATATTCTCTTCTGCTCTTCCTCCATATGAACTCTCCTATCAGCCATAGAGCCAATTCAGTGGCAATGGATACATGACTGTCTGTTTCTCTTTCTTTCTCTCTGTCTCTCTCTGTCTCTCTCTCTCTCTCTCTCTCTCTCTCTCTCTCTCTCTCTCTCACACACACACACACACACACACACACACACACACACACACATATACACCCTGTACTCGTCTAACTAGTACTGGAGTTCAGCCTAACTCAACTCTGCCTGTCCTTACCCACATCTCACCCACCATGCTCTGATCTGCCCATTTTTTTTTTTAATGAATACAACAAACATTTGTTGACCAGCTTCTGAGCAGGGCCCAGGGATTCTGAGCTGACTTGGGCATGCAGGGTAGGAAAAAAGATGCTACCATTTGTTATCCGTGTGACTTTAGACAAGTGACGTAACCTCTCTGGACTTCACCTTTCTTATCTGTAAGATGAGCCACAGTATGTGTCGTGCAGGATTGCTGTGAGAGAATATAGCTAGGAAAAGTCCTTAGCACAGTCTGCGGCTCAGAGTATATTCAATAAAATGCTGGTGATTAAGACCAACTTCTTTGTCCTTGGTGAAGGCAATTTTACAAAGAAAAAGACAAGTAAATGAATGTCTAACTACATCTAAATGTATCAAATGCCATGGTGGCTTTGTATGTGCACAGTGTATTGGAAACAGTGTGGTCTGTACATGGGGCTATTTGTTTGGGACCTTAGAGGCTGAGTAGGAGTTTGTTAGAGAAAGAGACTGTGGTGTCTATGAATATCACTCATTTTCTAGGATCCTATAGCTTCATTTCATATATTGGAATTTCCCAGAGGAAAGTGAACTCTGAATTATGATCAGAGACACTGCTAAGGAGGGACAGTGGCTATGTGGATGTATGTCCCCACTGTTACTCACAGAAACAAAGCCAGGCCGGTAGTGAGCCTCTGAGTCTCTGCCCAGGTCTCCGAGACAGATCCTTGTCCCATGACCTCAGGTGGCCAGCTCGGGGCAGGGATGAGGCTACTATGGGGAGAGCTGGAGCTGGGCTAAGAGATCATGGGAACCTGAGAGATGGAGGGCCCTTGCCTGAGCCTCAGTGCTGGGTGGGGTCAGGGTCAGAGCCGAAGCCATGCCTTCTGGCCCTGGGCCCCACTATCCTGCACCACCTGTCCATGTCCCTTAATAAGGATGAAAGCTGCTCATTCCCTGTACCTCCTTACTGGAGATGGGAAAGCAGAGAGAGGGATATCCCTGGACACCATTTGTCAAGGAACTCAAATACATAATGTATTTTCATGGCGACAGTAATAATAAATTGGCTGTTGCTGTAGGGTTCCTGTGTGCTCAACACTGTTTTCTGCATGGGATCTCACGGAGCCCTTACCACCACCTCCTGGGGCAGCCACTCTTGTTATTCCCATCCTACAGAGACAGACCCTGAAAGGACAGTGTTACATGACGTGCTCAAAGCCAGTCGAGGGATGGAGCTAGGATTACGAGGCAGGCCTGGGCTGGGACTTTTTGGCAAGTAGCTTCACTTCTACCTGCAAAGTAGAAATAATTATACCTGCCTTGCAAACATCATGGTGAGGGTTGAAGTACATGAGACCATGCACATAGAGTGCTCAGCC